CCCACGCCACGGTAAATACATGGCCTGCTGCCTTTTGTATCGTGGTGATGTCGTTCCCAAAGACGTGAACGCTGCCATTGCCACCATCAAAACCAAGCGCTCCATCCAGTTTGTGGACTGGTGCCCCACTGGTTTCAAGGTGGGCATCAACTACCAGCCGCCCACTGTAGTTCCTGGCGGAGACCTGGCCAAGGTCCAGAGGGCTGTGTGCATGCTGAGCAACACCACTGCTATTGCAGAGGCCTGGGCTCGGCTTGACCACAAGTTTGATCTGATGTACGCTAAGCGTGCCTTTGTGCACTGGTATGTGGGTGAGGGTATGGAGGAGGGAGAGTTCTCTGAGGCCAGGGAGGACATGGCCGCTCTGGAGAAAGATTACGAGGAGGTTGGAGTCGACTCCATTGAGGGTGAGGGAGAGGAAGAGGGAGAGGAATATTAAGGGACAAAAAGGCATTTGTTAAAAATGATACAATTAATTCTAAAATTGAATGTTTAACTATCATTAGAAGTTCGGCTGTTCAGAGTTAGCGATCCTGAAAGATCAGTTTGACCCTGTTCTTAATAAATGTCCTACAACATATTAAGTTGTCTGTGTTTTTTCTTTTGGTTTTAAGAATTAAAAAGAAACATTTACATTAGAGTTTTACCAATTGTATATGATCAGATAAGGGAATTCGTTTTACAGAACACACACATCACACAATGTTTAATTTATACCTTGAAAACTGTTAGAGCAAATATATACGATCATTTTATTTGTGCTGAATCTTCTATTTTTGTTACAACAGGGCCATATAGTAATTAGTGTCGTTTTGCAACATGGCACACTCCTGAGAACCCTATCTAGATATGGGCTAATTTTAAGCTAACAAAAACCCAACAATTCTTAGTTTTAGTAGATTATTCATTATTGAAAACATGATAATTATAATCAGATGTCATTTCTGCCTATAAATCCCCCTTTATCCAACAACCTAATCCTTTATAACTAAACTAGTATGGTGTTTTTTTTATCGAATTTCAAATTGTTTAATAGCCCATTCATGTGTGCCCACTCCAACGTCAACAGTCCCTAATCACCTTGGCATGTAAGGTAATCATCAGCTTCTCACATTTTACTTAAGGATTGCACCAAGCATTCCTGTTATTTTTGGTACCCTGTCCATTCCTAGAGCTAAAGACATTGAGTAGTACCTTAACTTCTATCTTCCTATAGTTTGTCACCAGACTTCCTCCTTCAGTTGGGGAGTTTTCTACAAAGGTGCTTAATTCTTTCAATTACCGGGGTTAGTATCTGCTAAACAAACATCTGAACTCACGTGTCACTAAGTGTTCTGCATCTCCCCTGAGACATTGCTTTGTTTGAACCCTAATCCCCCATTTAACCTCTTGGAATATTGCAGTGTTGTTGATCTGACTTCCACCCACAGCACAATTACCAAACCAAGATTACAAAATAAAGATGGCCGTGCAGTGCCTCTCATTCTGCAACCCTTTATTCTAACTGTTCTGGGATGAATACGACCACAACACCCTCCCAGCTCGGGTGCCAGTAAAAGAGCGGAAAGCCAGGATCTGAACTTTAAAGATCACCTATTATGCAAAATCCACTTTTTCATGTATTTTATACATAAACATGTGTCCCCTCTGTGTAAAGAGATTCTGAACGTTTCAGGGAAAAAAATATCTCGGAGGGCCGTGGGGAGTGGCTCCTTATTTTCAATCAGCACTTTTGAAACACGGCTGAAACAGAGGGGTTTATGGGATGCTACAATGCACAATTTGTTTGGTATTTCGAGCCAAACACTTCAGAGACATGTTTATCTGAGACCTATAATATATGGATGAAAAACAGTATAATAGGGGACATTTAAAGGCCTTCATCCATCGATCCTGCCGTGCCTGATTACAGTAGCAATCCACTCACAACGGCACCTTTAACTGGTTGTAGAGACGCCAAATGGAGTCGGAGCCCTTTCCGTCACTACACCCCTGGTCAAAAGGCCTGCTTTCGACCATAACAATTACAAATATGACATTAATAAACGCTTTTAAAAAACAAACCTGAACGAGGCTGTCAACCTTAGCACATATTTTAAGCATACGTTTAATATTGCTTTTTAGAAAATCTAACATCTGAGGATGAGTAATATGATGCCATACAAAGCATGACCCTGAAAACATGCTGGTGACATATTTTGAGAGTAAATGAAAGACTCATTATTTAGTTGTTTTTTAATTAAGGCCAAATTAAGTGACAGAATGGAATATCTTCAACAGACCTCTTTCCTTTTTTTGTCAGAGCTGTTTATGTATTGATTGCTGTTGGGGGGTGTTACAAGCATTTCACAAATATAAGAAAGCATGTTTCTCAAATACGTCACTCACCCTGACCTGAAGTGTTAATTTAAGAGTATCTGGCTAATATATTTTCTGATAAAATGATTTTGGAGTCTCTATCTGACACTTAGCAGCTGTTACTGTTGAAAGATCATTCATTGGGTTAAGGATATATTCAATGGCTTGTTTCTATAATAATGACAGACATAATACAAATATCATATCATAGATCTAACTACAAATCACAACACTTATTAAAGATTTATTTATATTAAACCAAAAAAAAGAACCACAGACCACTTCATATTTTTCAGGACATTTATTAGAGAGCAGAACAGACACAGTATGCATCACTACCTCTGAAAAGACAAACTCTGAGTTGTAAAAAAACTATTACTTTTTGAGATGCCTTCAATTATTAGCAATTGTTTCCTGACTAACTAGTGCAAAGTCCCTTTTAATACTCCTCTTCCTCACCCTCGAACAAGTAAACTCCAACCTAACAACCTGGTGTTATCCCCCCTGGCCTTTCCTATCACATCAAATTGACATCCACATTTATTTTTGGAATGTATTTAAGGACGAATCAACATTATGATGTTTAACTAGTTCTTAAGTTTTCATTCTTTAAAATTCTTCTCCCTCTTCCTCTCCATCACCCTCAATGGAGTCGACTCCAACCTCCTCGTAATCTTTCTCCAGAGCGGCCATGTCCTCTCTGGCCTCAGAGAACTCTCCCTCCTCCATACCCTCACCCACATACCAGTGCACAAAGGCACGCTTAGCGTACATCAGATCAAACTTGTGGTCAAGCCGAGCCCAGGCCTCTGCAATAGCAGTGGTGTTGCTCAGCATGCACACAGCCCTCTGGACCTTGGCCAGGTCTCCACCAGGAACTACAGTGGGCGGCTGGTAGTTGATGCCCACCTTGAAACCAGTGGGGCACCAGTCCACAAACTGGATGGAGCGCTTGGTTTTGATGGTGGCAATGGCAGCGTTCACATCTTTGGGAACGACATCACCACGATACAAAAGGCAGCAGGCCATGTATTTACCGTGACGTGGGTCACATTTCACCAACTGATTGGCTGGCTCGAAACAGGAATTAGTGATTTCTGACACGGTTAACTGCTCATGGTACGCTTTCTCTGCAGAGATAACAGGGGCATAGGTGGCCAGAGGGAAGTGGATACGGGGATAGGGCACCAAGTTGGTCTGGAACTCTGTCAGATCAACATTGAGGGCACCATCAAAGCGAAGGGAGGCAGTGATGGAGGACACAATCTGACTGATCAACCTGTTCAGGTTTGTGTAAGAGGGACGCTCGATATCGAGGTTCCTACGGCAGATATCATAAATGGCCTCGTTATCAACCATGAAGGCACAGTCAGAGTGCTCCAGGGTGGTGTGGGTGGTGAGGATGGCGTTGTAGGGCTCCACCACAGCGGTGGACACCTGGGGAGCTGGGTAGATGGAGAACTCCAGTTTGGACTTCTTGCCGTAGTCGACGGACAGACGCTCCATCAGCAGGGAGGTGAAACCAGAGCCGGTGCCCCCTCCGAAGCTGTGGAACACCAGGAAACCCTGAAGACCGGTGCACTGGTCAGCCTGGAGATGGAGAGAGACAAATATGAGATACAAATTCAAGAATTCATTCGAATATTTTGAACTTGTTTTAGGAATGTGTCACTCTATACGTCAAGTTACCCACCAGTTTGCGGATCCTGTCCAGCACTGTGTCAATGATCTCCTTGCCGATGGTGTAGTGTCCTCGGGCGTAGTTGTTGGCAGCATCCTCCTTGCCAGTGATCAGCTGCTCAGGGTGGAACAGCTGGCGGTAGATCCCGGATCGAACCTCATCTGAAGAGAACAATTTGTTTAGAAATGACTAAAGGGTTTGACTTGAAAGCTATATATGGCATATATATTTAATGAGAGTTTACCGATGACAGTGGGCTCCAGGTCCACAAAAACTGCTCTGGGGACGTGCTTTCCAGCTCCAGTCTCACTGAAGAAGGTGTTGAAGGAGTCGTCTCCTCCTCCACACGTCTTGTCACTGGGCATCTGTCCGTCCGGCTGGATCCCATGTTCCAGGCAGTAAAGCTCCCAGCAGGCATTGCCAATCTGGACTCCAGCCTGACCGACGTGGATAGAGATGCACTCACGCTGTTGGGCAGAGAGAGAAGATTTGAATTACAGATATTATTTAATCTCAAACCTTGCAATTTTAACACTTAAAAACTGCTTCACAGCTGCTTTCAGACAAAAAAAAGTTATTTGTCTGTATTGTTTTAGACATGGTATAATGGGAAACAAAGTGGGCTAACAGAAATAGTTTTACTATAGTTCAAAATAAATATCACAGCTATATTCTTGAGAATACAGTTATTGGCAGGATGAAGGTAATAGTTAAATAAGGCGAAATAAATCTAATAGAGAGAGAGATGATGGATAGATACTCTATTTATCCCAAAATAAAATAAAAAAAATATTTTTGTTGCAGTAGTGTCAAGCATTACACAAGAAAATAAATGTTTAAAAGATACAATAAGATACAAGTACAATACAAAATAGCATTAGCTGCAAGCAAATACAAATTCACAATAGAAAATACATCCCTACAGTATCTGAATAATACACAATGTAACAAAATATTGAATAAATTGAGTATAATATACAGTTTCACAAGCTACAGGAATATATATCAATACAATACAGACACATAATGGCATTTGGATTAAATAAACATTATAATTAAGTAGCTGTTGTACAAATTGTTCTGGGTTATGGAAAAGGGGACGCTTTACATGCTATGGTGCAGTATGAGTAATATGCCAACCAACAACCAATTCATGGCGGTAACAGTAACGTCCACTTAATACATTTTCGCTGTATGGACAGGCTTTCTCTGGGTGTGGGACATCTGAAGACTGCAGATCACTTACACTTTGCTATAGTGCTGACAGGGGCTAGGACCCAACACAGCAGACTTCATTATTCATTCTGTCCACATAGCAGTCAGATGAAAACCTCTTTTGTTCAGTCTGCCCGTCACGTAACGTTAGCTGGCTGTACCCCCATGCAAAGCACCTCCCTTCTCCAAAACTCATATTCAATAATACGCTAGAAATTACTTGTTTAATAGAAAAATACTTTTTTGACACCTCGAGCCTTTTTCCACTTTTATAAACGTGTACGTTTCGTTGGTTTGATATCGGTTGTAGGGGAAATTAAATATCA